GACGGGGTTTCACTGTATTAGCCAGGATGGTCTCAATCTCCTGACCTCGTGATCCGCCCGTCTCGGCCTCCCAAAGTGCTGGGATTACAGGCTTAAGCCACCGCTCCCAGCCCCTTTTTTTTTTGAGATGGAATCTCGCTCTGTTGCCCAGGCTGGAGTGCAGTGGTGCGATCTCAGCTCCCTGCAAGCTCTGCCTCCCTGGTTCACACCATCATCCTGCCTCAGCCTCCCAAGTAGCTGGGACTACAGGTGCCTGCCACCATGCCCAGCTAATTTTTTGTATTTTTAGTAGAGACGGGGTTTCACCATGTTAGCCAGGATGGTCTCTATCTCCTGACCTTGTAATCCATCTGCCTCAGCCTCCCAACATGCTGGGATTACAGGTGTGAGCCACCGCGCTCGGCCTTTTTTTGGTTTTTTTTTTTTTGGAGACAGAGTTTTGCTCTTGTCACCCAGGCTGGAGTGCAATGGCACAATCTCGGCTCACTGCAACTTCTGCCTCCCGGTTTCAAGCAATTCTCTTGCCGCAGCCTCCCGAGTAGCTAGGATTACAGGCATGCGCCACCATGCCTGGCTAGTTTTATATTTTTTAGTAGAGACCACACTTCACCATGTTGGCCAGGCTGGTCTTAAACTCCTGACCTCATGTAATCCACCCTCCTCGGCCTCCCAAAGTGCTGGGATTACAGGCGTGAGCCACCGTGCCCAGCCTATGGTGAATACATTTTCAACAAAGACGGTGAGGCATTGCACTGGGGGAAATCGCAGTTTCTCAACAAGAGATGCCAAGACAGGTGGATGTTCCTATACACAGAAAAGATGCTCACTCCGTATGCAAAAGTTAACCTAAAAAATATGGACTGTAGATCTAAGTGTCAACAAGCATAAAATATAGCAGAAGATCACAGAAGAAAATAGGAGGGAAAATCTTTACAATATCCAGTTGGGCTAAGAGTTTGTTTTTGAGATAGGGTCTCTGTCACCCAGGCTGGAGTGCAGTGGTACAATCATAGCTGACTGCAGCCTTGACACCAAGGGCTCAAGTGATCCGCCTTCCTCAGCTCAGGAGTTCTCAGGATAGCAAAGGCATGAGCCATGTGGAAAAAAACTACTTCACTAGAATAAAAGGTTTTGCCCCTTAGAAGACATCATTAAGAAAATGAAAGACAAACCACATAAAATGTCTGCAAATCACATCTTTTTTTTTTTTTTTTTTTTTGGAGACTGAGTTTTGCTCTTGTTGCCCAGGCTGGAGTGCAATGGTGTGATCTCCACTCACTGCAGCCTCTGCCTTCTGGGATCAAGCAATTCTCCTGCCTCAGCCTCCCGAATAGCTGGGACTACAGGCGTGCGCCACCACATCCAGCTAATTTTTGTATTTTTGGTAGCGATTGTGTTTCACTATGTTGGCCAGGCTGGTCTCAAACTCCTGGCCTCAGGTGATCCGCCTCAGTCTCCCAAAGTGCTGGGATTACAGGTGTGAGCTACAGCGCCCCATCTCATATATCTGATAAAGGACTGTATATAGGATATGTGAGTACTCATAACTCAGACAGCCCAATTAAAAATGAGGAAAGATTTAAATAGGTTTCTGCCCAGGAAGACTCATCAGGGAAATGCAGGTGCAACCCACAGTGTGGGTACACATTGTACAGCTGGGATTGAGCACAGCAGGTGTTGCCAAGCCTGTGGCCACCTGGAGCAGCCCAGCGTTGCCAGGGGGTGCAAAGTGGCACACCTACATTGGGAAACATTTGGGGACTTCCACTCAGGAATCTACCCAAGAGAAATGAAAGCACATGTTCATGAAAAGGCTTAATGCAATGTTTATAATGGTTTATAATGTTCCTAAATGCTTATGGTGGCATTATTCATAATGCACAAAAAAGAAACCATCCAAATGTTTGCCAACTGGAATGGTTACAAACAAAATGTATACTCACAATAATTTAAAATAAAATTATTTTATCTTAAAAGGATAAAATACTCTCTAAAACATGAGTGAGCCTCAAAAACATTACACAGTATAATCGTCATTTATGTGAAGTGTCCATCAGAGGCAAGTTTATAGATACTAAAAGCAGGACTGTGATTGCCTGGGACAGGGTGTAGGGTGTGGGTGGTGGGAGCAGGCATCAACTGAAAATAGCTCAAAAGAATTTGGGGCTGGGCAGAGTGGCTCCCAAAAATGCCCTCCTGTGTTCATTTATGTGTCCGAACAAAGCAGCTGCGCGCGTGTGTGCGCGGTCTCTGCTTCTCTTGGCCAGCCTGGGTTCCCTGCCAGAAGCCTGGCAGTATGGGCCAGACAGGGCCCTGTTTGGAGCTCAAGAGTGATTAAAAGAGGTGGGGTGGCCAGGCGTGGTGGCTCACACCTGTAATCCCAGCACTTTGGAAGGCTGAGGCGGGTGGATCACCTGAGGTCAGGAGTTCGAGACCAGCTTGGCCAACGTGGTGAAACCCTGTCTCTACTAAAAATACAAAAATTAGCTGGGCATGTTGGTTCACTCCTGTAGTCCTAACTACTCGGGAGGCTGAGGCAGGAGAATTGCTTGAACCTGAGAGGTGGAGGTTGCAGTGAGCCGAGATTGTGCCATTGTACTCAAGCCTGGGTGACACACAGAGACTACGTCTCAAAAAAATAATAAATAAAAAGAGGAGTCCACGCTAACGAGTCCACAGTCCTAACAAGTGCTGCGGGCTGGACGTGGGGCAGCGTCCCACCCGGTGTCTGGTGCAAGGCCTTTAGGGGCTTGGCCTCCAGCAGTGGAGAGCACAGGGCTGGGTGCGAGCACTACAGCTGGGCCAGGCCACTCACGTTATGCGGCCGTTCCTGATGCTTCAACACGGTCCTTGTGGGCGAATGTGTGAAATCTCGGAACAAGTGGAGTGGGGAACTGAGCGTCTGCGGTGAAGCCCAGGCTAAGGAAGCCCCTCATCTGCTCACGGTGCCAGGAGGTCTCTGCCTTCTGGTCCTGAGGAGTCGCGAGATTCCTGAGGGATACTAGGGTCTCTGCAGCTGTGCCTGCGCCAAGTAGCCGCGCGAGCTGCGCATGAATTCTGTCTCAGCCCGGAGAAAAAAGCCCCGGCTGCGCCCTTGCCCACCACGAGCTTTCCACGGGGCGTGGGCGTGCAAGGGGCTCCTCCTTGTCCCAAAGCCCTGTCCTTCCACGGGAGACACCAAGGCTCTGGAGCGGCCCGCGCGCCGGCGCACTCGCCTATGTTTAACGAGAACTTAATCCCCGTGCCCGTTACCTCCCCGAAGTCCCGGGACTAGATAACAAGGCCCCGAAACAAGAGTCGCAGTAGGACCGACTGGGCCGGGGAGGGCAGCGAACTGCACCCGCGCGGGCTTCCAAAGCCCACGCGGCC